CTTATAAACCCTAGCTGCACTTATTTCTAGTTGTAGCAAACAAGAGAGGAAATCATCTAAGTCATATTTATTATGGCATTATAAAAGCCCGTTTCTACTTGTAGACAAATAAATTTTTAGGGGCATGTTTGGTTCATAGTAAATTAGTAATTCTGCTTTCACTGTTATAAAAAAAAGTAATTCTGCTTTCACAACAATATTCATTCGTTTGGTTTTAAAAAAAATAGAGAAAAAGAAAAGGGAAGGAAAATTTCTTTTGATCCCACTTTTAAAGGTAAACTACAGAAATTTTACAATTTGGATCTCTTCAGAATCCCTGGGTGCATAGAGATTGACAAATGACAATGAACAACTAAGAGCACAGATGGTAAACCCAACAATCATGGTCGCATGTCGTATGCAAGTAAACCACAACTCAAAGGTGAACAAAAGAATAACCTTTTTCCGAAGCGCATTGTCAGAAGTACATGGAATGGTACAGCCCAATCCAAGTTACTAACAAAAGTGTCGCATGGAAGCTCTCCAGGGGGAGAAAAAAGCTGTGAACGCACGAGCAAAGAGCATCTGATTTAAAATTCTTGAATGGTCCTCTTTTGACTTTGACTGCACAGCATGAAGGGAGCAACAGCTTCAGCTTCCCAGCCAGTTGCTTCGATGCCTACAGCGAAGCTGAACTCCCGCACGCTTACAGAGAAGGGGCATCTCCATTGCTGCAGGATCTGCTATTAGTACATCAGTGACCACTACGCCTTAGTCTTTGCCAAAGTCTGCGCTGTAGTGGGCGCTGGATTCCAGCTTCTTGGCGTCATTCAGCTTCCTGACGGCCTGAGATGCACGAAATGTGAGTTTCAGTGCTTGTTAAGGTGCAGATGGTCGGGTTTTAAGCGTGTACGATAGCGCACCTTCATGAAGTCCTCGTGGACTACGTAGTCCCGCTCTGCGCGAATTGCAGACATGCCAGCTTCGGTGCAGACATTGCGAAGATCAGCCCCGTTGAATCCCTGAAGCCAGATGAGTTGAGAATCTGAGCAATGCAACAAGATTGTATGTGAGATAAGAACGTTAGCTAAGATATACTCACTTCAGCCAGTTTCACAACCGCTTCATAATCTATTTCTCCATGCTTGGCGATACCGGCTGCATGAATTTTAAGTACTTCTGTTCTTGATTGCTCATTTGGTAGCGGGATCTCAATCTTTCTGTCGAGACGACCAGGGCGCAGGAGCGCAGGGTCAAGAACGTCAGGTCGGTTTGTTGCCATGATCATCTTGACCTGTTTAGGCAAAAATATCAGCGCCAAGAAGAAAAGAATTATGTGCAATGTTAGAAAAGGGAGTCAAATAAAATGTTTGCAAATCAGCGGTCAGGAAATTCATACAAGCAATGAAGCAAAGATGAAAAATAAATTTTAATCCACAGACTGGTATATTTTACCCACGCAAGTTAGAGTGCATATCACACACACATTCAGGCATCAAACCCATTGCCTTTGCATATATGGCATAAAGTTACCTAGAGAGGAAAAACACTTGATGATATAGGTTTTACCTTGCCAAGCTCATCAAATCCATCTAACTGATTAAGAAGCTCCATCAGCGTCCGCTGGATCTCACGGTCGGCACTGGTTCCCTCACTAAATCTTCTCCCACCAATTGCATCAATTTCATCCATGAAGATAATGCACGGCTAGAAATAACAATTTGAACAAAGAAACAAAATTTGTGAGCATTGCAAACAAACTAAATGGCGATATATGTCAAAAGATCTAAAAAATGCATTTATATTGTCTCTAACAGGAGCTCAAACGTGAAGGTATAAGTTTGATTTCTTCTTCTCTTGCAAAACTGGTATTGAGATCTACTCCCTCTGTTCCTAAATATATGACGCTTTGGTAGTTCAATTAACTTAAAATTCGATAGTGTGTGGACAGGAACATAATTAGATGACACATCTGGGTCAAAGGAACTATTAAGGTCAGCTTGCATCTCTGCAAACAACAGTGGATGCATGATCGTTTGCCACTTAAGACCAACTAGCTTTGCAAAAAGGAAGGCAGAGCAAGACTTACTTGGTGATCGCGTGCATAGCTGAACATTTCTCTGATTAAACGAGCACTTTCTCCGATATATTTGTCAATTATAGCACTTGACACAATCTGGTTTTTAGACAATATATGTCAGTGTAATGTAATACTCATGGAAAGAAAATACCAAGTGAAAACCACACCTTCAAAAAGTTAGCATCAATATTACTGGCAATAGCCCTCGCTAATAATGTCTTCCCAGTTCCTGGTGGGCCATAGAGTAGAACACCCTGGCAAAAGTAAAGCAAGCATACACTGACTCCCAAAATCACAACATGTGTATCTTTACCTCTTCAACTTATATAGGAAAGTGGATCATAAACAAAAAAAATTGTGCTAAATTTACCTTGGGAGGTTTAATTCCAACCCTGAGAAACAATTCAGGGTTCATTAAAGGCAGCTCAATTGATTCCCTGAGTTCCCTGATTTGATCAGACAAGCCACCTACAGCCGAGTAACTGACATTGCCTGGATCTTCGTGTAGCATGTTATACACCACAGGATCCACCTGAAGAAACAACAAGTTCAGTTTCATACCACATCGCCGGAAGCCAATTTTAAATATAACAAAAGGATCATAAAATAAAACAATTACTAAATAATGCACTAACAAAAGGAGTAAGAAGCTGATCAGCATTACTAAATCATACCTCCCTTGGCAGAGTGCGCATGATTGTCAAAGTTGTCATGTCCAGCACAACACGAGTTCCAGAAGTTAACTTTTCCTTGTCCACTTTACTCCGGCAACCGACGACATATCTTGGACCACTGCTAGCCTTAACAATAACTTCAACAAATAGGTATTTCAGCTTTAAGTTGTTACTAATACAGAAAAGCAAAATTTACACGTGGCAGTTTCATGTGAATACGCAAAATAAAACTGATCAACTTCGTTCTCTTATAGTGTGGCAAGCAAAGCAGAGACTATGGAGGCCCTGTCCAGTGAAGGCCTTTGTGAGTTTGCACACTTCAAAAACATTCCTCTGAAGTTCATAGTAAGTACTCCCTCTGTAAAGAAATATAAGTGATCTAAACAATCTTATATTTCTTTACAGAGGGAGTACTTGTTATTTCATGTACACAGTACGCATGCCAAAATTCGTGACAATATATCATCTTGTGCTAAACATGTGATATAACTTCTTATCTTCACTTTAGTTGCACAAGATCATATATTTTGTGACTTTTCATACATGTACTGAACCATGATTTCTTGGGGAGCTTTTGTAAGTGTACGAATCCTCATACAAGAGGACCATTTATACTTAACTTTTCAGGGCAAGTGTCCGTTCAAGATATATGTACCAAGTATATATATCAAAAGAGAGAGAGAGAGAGAGAGAGAGAGAGAGAGAGAGAGAGGCTCTTTACTTACAGCGTTCATTATCAAGAGGACGGAGGACCTCTCCTATTATTTGTCCAACACTTTGCAGTGACTTCAAGTCATCTTCAGTCTTTGCGAAATCTTTCCTAGCAATTTTAAGGTTTTCCCTCACTGCACGGAGATGTGCATGTGTCAACTGAAAGTTCATCCTAAGAAGGATCATAATATTTTCTTATAATATAGGTGCACGTGTGCTGTACAAATATCGCTCAGTACACATAACCAACTAAAAACTTTATGGAGCTGCTCGCAGACCATCAAGGGTTGTAAAGTAAGCTGAACTCGTGAAACTGCCTGAGTTCCAACACCAAAACAGTTCTGCTAATTGCCCCTGTTAGCTGAATCTTTTGTAAATCTCAATCGCCTAGAAGTACACACCACTTTGCCTAAACTTGCAGTAATGGACAAACACTCTTTTTAACAGTGGAGATGTAAAATGCATTTTTTAGTCTGGATGTTATGCATGGAATGAGATGGGGATGAGAATGGGTGGATGTCCAAAGGCTTGGAAAAATGATTGACCTTAGAAAATTTCAGATCACTTATGAACAGGCATCCCATACTCCATACCCATACGGAAATGTGCCGACATAAATCTGTAGAGTCCACAAAATAGCACTTTGAACCAGAATTGACACCTAAATAACAACGCGGCAATGTGAACCAGAATTGCCGGCAATGTGACATTTTTTGGGGGTATAAAGACTTATTTCTAAAATAGCGGAAGAAGGAACTTCACAAATCTACTGAAGACCACCAATTATTCCACATCAAGCAATCAGGGAAGCGCAAAAAATGTTTAAGTTTTCTAAGGAGTCGACCACCACGACAAAAACAAAACCCTAAGTCTCTCACATCGCACTCGCTGGCAAAACTTCAGATCCACATCAAGCAATCAGCGTCCAAACCAGCAGATTTAGCGCCGGGAAACAACATCTACTCTGCACCGACAGCGCAGGCCAAGGCCGGCCCTATACCGGCAACGCCCAATCTAGCACTAGAACGCATCTCGATTTCGAGCGGAGTGAGGAAGGAAGCTGGGTGCGTTACCAGTGCCGACGCGCGATTCAAGCTCCCTGCAGTTGAGCAGTTTCTTGCGGTAGTCGGATATGGCCGTGCGGCGGCGGGCGGCGGCGGCGTCCTCTCCGTCGGCCATCGCCGCTGCGATCTGTCCCTCGACTTTGCTTCTGTCGCAAGAAGGGAATGAGTTCCAACTGTTTGTTTTTTTGCCTAAAAATATAAACTTAAGCACAGAATAGTTGTGGCGTACATTAAAATGGTGCAAAAACTTGGTTCGGACGGTACAAATACGATTGCTTATCCCGTTTGTATACGAAATGTGCGCTGACTAGGCATGTTGACCCTGCTGTTAGACTAAGGAGAAAGAGCATGTGGCCTGATTTTCACAAAATAAACCTTGGAACTTTGATTTTAAAAAAAAAGGTCCATGTAGACGTGGCATTCTTCACCTCACTGACCAGAGGGTCCCGCCTGTTAAAAAATAAATAACAAAAAAGTAGGTGCCGCCAGGATTCGAACCCAAAACCACTTGCTACATCATATACAGGCCAAACCACTCTGCATACATTTTCAACTGACTATTGCATAATTGACATGGTGAAGTATAAAATATTATAATTTTATATAATACAAATATTTCATAAACTACAGTTAAAATATTGTTTCAATTATACAAGCATTTTAATAATTATATGCACATTTGTATAGTTCAATGTTTGTATAATTAAAAATATTCATATTCTTACATTTAAAATTTTGATTTGAATATTCAATCATGTATATTATTTAAGTTAATACAGATATGCACATTTATAATTCATCATGTTAATTATATTATTATTAAAATGTTTGTATTATCAAAATTTATAACACAGAAATATCCATATTAATTAGATGTTTTAATATAATACGCGGTTGTATATTTACAAATCATCGTTTGTTTGTATAATATGTATAACACGTAAATGTTTGAATTTAAGTTTTATTACTTACGTTTTACAAATATCTTAAAAAATAGTTGGTGCAAATTGGCCGCAATATTTGCAGCCCATTTAAGCTCCACCTGCGTACCGAAGGTATATATATGTTGCTAACCATAGTTGTAAGTGTAAAACATATGGCATGGTTAGATACACATGTTTTGTTGCAGATGGTTGCAGGTTCGAAACCTGGATGCTCTACCATTATTTATATTGTAAAAAACAATATATTCCGAGTTTTTTTTTTTTGAAAAAACAGGCCATTCCCCTTGTCCTTGGGCTAGTCGCTGACAGCGGGGTCCACACGCCTAGTCAGCATAGATTCCATATACAAACGGGATAATCACCGTATTTGCACGTCCGAGCCAAATTTTTACACCACTTCAATGTACGACACAACTTCTAGCACCAAAGTGACCGTTTACGCCAAGTTGTGGCACCACCAGTGTAATTGACTCTTTTTAAAATACTGTAGTATTCTGAAACCTTGGTATTGCAATGCGTGGGCAACAGATACTACAGTTTCAAAAAAACTGCATTTTTCTCAGTTTTCGAAAGACTGCAGATATGTTTGGCTGATGCTGTTTTACCGTAGTTTTGACCAAATGCTACACAACTGAGCCTAACCTAGCTACACCTAAGGAGCTACAGGACCGGTCCAATCAGCGTGTGCTAATGACGCTCAGCTGGTCGCTGACCTAGGAAGTCGTGGGTGCAATCAATCATATTACACGCTTGCATGGAATTGTGTTGATGCGTTCAATCAATCGAGCAGGTAGCGCATACCTTTCTGTGAGCTTCATTTGTCCATGGTAGCATATATAGAAGATGTGGCTGGAAGATGGGCTCACGAGAACAAATTGCATGGGAGAGCAAGTAACGCTCGCGTTTCTCTGTTTACGAAAAAGAGGTCCCAACCTCTTTTTCTAATACAGCAAAAAAAACACGGTTTCAAGAAAACTACAGTTTCTAAAATTGTTGTATTTGTTCATGCCAAACACATCAAAGTATTTAAGACAGTGGCTTCATTGAAAACCACAGTATTTCTTGTAAAACTGCAAAAATACTTCGTTGCCAAAAGCAGCCTAAATTGTGGATGTTAGGTTGTTTTGAAGGTGAAATTTCGCAATAGTACTTCCTCCAACTCAAAATAATTGACGTTGACATAGTCCAATTTATTTTACACATACATTCATAAACACGTATACATAATCATTTTTATGAATGCACACACATATACACTCTATACTTATAAGCACCTCTGAAAGTCTAAGTGGTTTTTGGGATAAACGTAATTAGCCATGGGTTTATAGATAATTAGTTATTAGAAAAAACAGTTTTGCTAGTAGTAGTTTTGTGAATAATCATTATAGAAAAATAATGTTTGGGATTAAAAAAGTATAAAGCTGGACTTTCGATTTACTTGTTGGGATAACAATCCATGCCCCCCTCTCCGTGAGTTGTGAAAGTATGATGGCATGAAAAAAGTGTAGAGTGATGAAGTTAGTTAGGATCCAATATTGCAAAATCGTGCTTTTTGGAACAATAACAAAGAGTAGTTTTTCTACAAACGTGAAATTCTGATTTATTTATTTTGTGAAATTCTAAGTTTCCTAGAAACAAGTTCTTCACATGCGCGGATTAGTTAGAATAACTTCATTTGATTAGATACCTTTTCCAGTTTATAGGACTTGCATTTTGCATATACTATCTATCCAACAATCCCCAAGGGTCAGTTCTTTTGTGATTTATAGCTGGTTGTAGAAATAAGCTGCCTTGCCTCATCTCAGCTTATTCTAGAAGTTCAACCTAAATTTTTTTTTAGAAACCCATGAATTAAGGGTTAACTAGTACTACCTTGGTCCTGCTTTATTTGTCTCTTTTGTAATCTGTATTAAATTTGACCAAAGATTTAACTAACAAAATGTTAATGCATGTGAATAAAAGTTATACCGTTGGATTCGTATTTGAACATAGTTTTCAATGATATAATTTTTATGACATGCATGAAGATTTTATTTGTTAAATTTATGATCAAAATTTGACGTTGAATACAATGAGGATCCATAAACAAGGACGGAGGTAGTAGGCTTCTAAAAAAAATACAAAGACGTACAATTTCATCTATCCCTGAACCTAACCACGCAACAGTGTGAGGTGTGCTCCACCCATAAGCAGCAAGGCCATGGTCGATCTTATTTTGCGAGGGACTTTTTTTTTTTAAAAGGAGGATGACCTCAGGCCTATGCATCTGGGAGATGCATACGGCCACTTTATTTATTATTCTCGAGGACCTTACAAAGTATTACAACAATATGCCTGAATCCGCCATCTTGGCAACATATGCCACTACTCCTATCCATATGATGAAGGGGTGCTACCTGGGTCAAATACCCGGACCACTCACCTAAGCCTATCATCAAAAGCCAGAAGCCCCAGCCGAGCCACATACCGGGTCTGGGGCATAAACTGGTCTAACGCACTCATATGTGTCGTCGCCGCCATCTTTCACAGGTCCGTCTTCAGAGCATATATTTAGGCTTCTACCTTGTCAGGCCACTCTGCCATCAACGCCACCATGACGCCAGACAACTGCCTCCTCCTGCGCGAGTCCATCACCGCGCATCAGGCGCCGAGTCTCCACTGCACCACGCCGTCGAGATCCGCCGTCATCAATGTGTAGGATGAAGCACCGCTCCACCAAAAAAGCCGCCCACTGGTTCCTCGATCCCGTGTACGCCTCCAAGAATGACGCCCTCAAGGAGGAAACGACACCAACGCGCCGCCGTCATCCGATCTACTGATCTAGAGTTTCCCCCGGAGGTACCGTATAGAGGTCTGGAGCTTCTCCACGGCAATGCCTTCAAGAAGGTAATGACACAAAAGGGTGCCGCCAACGCCGGTCTTGGCATCAAGCCGAGCACGAGGTTTTCACCGAATTCGCTCGAAGAACCTCCATCAAGCATCGTGTGCGCGGGTCGCCGCCAATCTGAGCCGCCGCACATCGAGCAGGCCGCACCGGCCAGATCAGATCTGTCCGGAGGGCACAACACGCATGGTGCCGACCCAACCGCCAGGCCCTCCATGCCGCCACAGCCGATCCGAGGTCAGATGGTCTGTCGCCGCTGACCCGGCCGCTACCGCCGAACGCCGCCAAGGCTGCTGCCCGAAGCAGGGCCGGCCGCCGCACCCGCCACTATCGCCGCCCTAGGCCGAGGCAGCCGCCGCGCCGCCGCCGGAAGGCAGGCCCGCCGCGCCACCAGGGCCAGATCGGCCCTGCCACCCACGCCGTGGGGCTCCGCACCGCCCCCATGGCGCAGGAGAGAGGAAAGGCCCCCGCCACCGCCGTCAGCCCCTGGGCTATAGGCCGGCGGCGTCCTTCGGCGGTGGCGGAGGGAGGGATGGAAGGAGGGAAGCCCCCGACGGCTAGGGTTTGCGATCCCGTCCGAGTCGCCCGAGCGGGGGCGACGCATTTTGTGAGGGACTAATCTGATTGATAATAATCTCCCTCGTGCTCTTAGATATCATCTCTCAGATTTCTTGCATAAGGACCACAAGACTCGGCCGCTTCCTTATGGGGGTATTAATCATTGCCACCGTCTCCGCACGATCTATTTCATCGACAATGGGAACTTAGGTCCTTCAGAGGGCAATCGCTAGGCCTCCCCTGCACGCGCGCAAGTTCGGCCTCAAGTCTGTTATCATATATGATCAAATCCCTGCAAGCTGTGAAAATGATAGCATAAGAATCATCGCGCAACACCATGCCACCCTTGGTCACTCCGGTCTCTGCCACGAAGCTCTCATCAGTGTTCAGCTTAGTCCATCCGTCAGGTGGACATGTCCAGCGCAGCTCCCCGTGAGGTTGCATGGCCCTCAACGCCACATTAGCGCCCTGGATGCTTGGCGAGTGAATGACCATCTTCTCTTTCTCCATACTCCCTTTGTGGGTGCTGGTAAATACATAACAAGGAGTTGATGTAGCCATGAAGAAATCGTCATGAGGCTTCTGTCGGGGCGCTTCTTTTCCGTGTGTGAGCTCATTGCGGACATTCCATGCCCCCACATAGTCATTAGGATCACCATCCACACCATGTCTGATAGTGGTCCAACAAGATCAAGAGACACTTCGGTAGCCGAAAAGTGTCCAGTCCAA